TATTCTTCTAGCAACTGTAGTTACAGAAGTGAACAAGACTAGGTCACACACCCAATGAGCTTACATTCTAGTAAAAAGTCATCTAATAAACAAGTAAATAATCTAACAAATACATAAGTTAGGGTCTGTAGAGCAAACTGAGGCAACTTCAAATGCAAAGGCTAAAAGAGACCTTTCTGAAGAATTGACATGTGAAGTAAGAAGTGAATGAGAAGCCAGCCATATGGAAATCTAGGAAAAGAACAGGAAGACAGGCAGCTTGGCATGATTACGGAACAGAACAAAGACCCATAAAGATAAAATGTAGTGAGTGCAAGTGGTTTATGGGTAGGAGTTGGGTAAGGAAGTGCTATAAAACAATAGTATGCTTAGTGATCAGGTCAGAGATAAGGAACAGATCATGGAGGATCTGGTAGTCCATGATCAAAAGTTTAGGTATTAATTTGCAAAGGGGTGTCCACTGGAAGAGCGGTGAAGTGATATGACTTGACTTTATGTTTTTGGAAAAAAAATAATTTTGGCAAATAAAAATGAAACTGTTCCTATTTTATACTGTTACTTTTTAAAATGTAACAAGTGATCATATAGATGTCTATATAGCAATTCTTTAGAGTCCTCTTAAAGTTTTGATAGGGCTGTAAAGCCCATTGAGAAGTTCATGAAAACCATTTCCTAGAAAAATTCATGAATACATAAAATTTTTCATTAAATGTGTGGATATTCACAAACTCTTCAAAGCCTATAGACCCTAACCTAAAAATCTGTCATTCAAAATGTAATAATGTTCCTTTCTTATGATAGTAGGCACAATATGCTGTTAACATCTGTTTCATCTCCTGTAATACATGAGATTATTTCTCCACGTAAAGTACACTGGTACTAACCACAGTATAGAAACAACAAATCCCCTAACACAGGCCCTAGTAACATCCCATAACTGAACCTCCCTGTTCTTATTTCTTCAAAATGAAAACTTCCAAATCAAGAGTCAAAGAACATCAAAGAGAATGTCAGACTCATCAGTCCAGCCACTGCATCCCAAACTCATACTCTTTCTTAAATGAGGTTTCTGAATCTGGAGGATTAATCATGGAATTGCAGTCTAGCTGGCCAACTCCTTGATTCTTTTTTTCCATTTGTAAGAACTGTTGATCATAATTATTTATTATATAACCATATATATATACACACACACATATACATATACATATATATATATTCCATCTGGTTCAAAACCAGACGGAATAACAAAAGAAACAACAAACAAAATAATAATGGGAGAAAAAGGTTGAACACGAAGTATTAGATATTCTATAATATTAAGTGTGTGTGTGAACACCAAAAAACAGGTTATTAACCTTTAGAGAGCTGCTCACAGATACACACACAAAAACTGAAATACTATCCAAGCAATTGGCATTCGACAATTGTGACACTGTCTTAAATTATTTTAACTGTAAAACTGAAAAATGTATCACAGACTTACACAGCGATTTTACAATAAAAATTCAATTGTTTTCTCTTTTCTCTCATGTAACAAAATTATTGACCATTATTAGCTACCATCAATAAATAATACTACCAGACTCCCATCAGCAATGTGACCATCAGAACAGGATCAGCACCATTTCCCTGAACCATCTTTTCTGCAAAAGTTTTTGGAACCATAACTTTATTGATTCCTCACTATTCCTGAAACACACACACACACACACACACACACATATATATGTGCGTGTGTATATATATATATATAGACATAAATTGTTTTGTTCCATATAAATTTATATAGAAGAGTAAGAATTTAGGTCATTCTCTTATGCACTTTTCTTGGACCTATTACTAATTACTGCTGAAATAGTGATCGGTTCACCTTGCCTGATGACTTATCATGAGTACCACTTCAGGTTCTGGCACAAGTGTTTTCAGGCAGTATTCCACTTATACTATCAGCAATACAGCACCTTGCAGAATTCATCTTCTTGATATTAAGCCTACAGCATTAGCTGAGACCCAACTGTCCTTTGGAGATCTGACCCTCAAAACTCAGAGAAAAACGATACATCATAGAGGATTTCTAGAGAGTATCAAACTGTCCTAAATCTAAATTCAAATCCAGGCTGTCCAAATTCCAATTCTGTCACAGTGGTACTAATTTTTATGGATAACACTGGCAACCATTTTATTCTAAAACTAGCTATTCTACTTTATGCCTGCCAGCCTGCCTGCTTGCCTTCCTCCTTTCTTTCTGAGAACATTTATCCTGTTAATTATGTTCAAATTCAGAAGTGCTCTACAACATTTTTCTATCACAGCAAAAAAACAAGCAAATATAGATTTTTAAAGGTGATTTGAATATGTGTCAAGAATTTGGAGATTTCCATTATTAAAATGCAAGGAAACATTCTAATAATCCCATCACCAACCAACAAGATTCAAGTTCAGCAAATTTTAGCACAATCATTCACTAACTATGGATCTATACAAAGTTCTCCCATTGTGCCAACCAAGGTTTCCCCAAACTCTGACATGTCTGTGTCATGCACTAGAATATTTTTTAACCTAAGCTTCTCAGAACCTATAATTCCCAAGTAGCTGGACTGACAACTCTAGATTAACTTATGAAGTAATTTTTGACCCCAGAAAACCTATATTTCTTCAAAAAGTTTTTTTTAATATTAAATTTGGCCAGGTTAAGTGCTATGATCTTTTGTAGCTCTTTACCTCATGAGATTATAATAAAATATGCAAAAAGTCATTATATATTGCGAAGTATCATATGAAATATGATTTAGTTATGAAATGAGCATATACCCTCATCCTTTATGATATCAACAAAGTAAAATCATTAAATTAAATTAACAGGGAACTAGTCATACATTTCTGTTTGTAGACTGAATCTTCATGCCTTTAAAAGACTATCAAATGTTAGGGCCTGGACCTAAAAGAGAGAGAATGAAATATTAATAATGTCCCACCTTGTGGGAGCTCGACATTACTTGACACTACACAGAAACTGACCTTTTTGTCCTTCAGGCTTGCCTAGCAGGCCCCATCTTCTATCGCAAAAGCCAAATCATCTGATCCCAAACTAACTGTCAACTGCCTGTGATGGTGGGGAAGCCAGACATCAATCAATCAGGTTTTATCAGACGCTCTCTTCGTTTCTCTGTTGTGCTCATCTTATCATCTGACCCAGTTGTAGCCCTGACTTCAGAAGCTTAAGCAACTTGATGACAAAATATGCGCCTGTTTGTCCAAGATGCACATTGTTAAGAAGTGGGGTGATATTTTTAGCAGCTACCTAATATATTTGCAAATGAACACTTGAATATTTCAGATTCACTCAAGTCCCAGGTTGGTCAGTCTCCCCTGCACACTGAATCTTCATTTGGAGGTGGGAAGCCCAATATTTCCAAAAAATGCAAGAGTACTTATATGCAAGTCAAACAGCATTGGAAAATCTGGTTCTTTTTATGTCATTGTAAGCAGAAAGGCTACCAAAATGGGAATTTGAGAATGTCACTTCAAGAAGAGAAAGAAGAACTGATTGGTAAGTGTGCACAATACAAATTCAGACAGTTTTATCCTAAATAAAGAAAAATGACTTAGAAAATTAAAAGTCATTTAATCTATTTATATTGACAACAGTCTTGGAAAAAACATGTTTAAACCTTCAATGCTGTTGCCAAATCTATGTTAGCTGGCTTCCTACTTTAATGGCATAGTCCAGAATATACTGCTATACATAAATAGTGGAGGTAAGAAGACAATTATGACACAGATTACAAATTTGAAATTTGCAAATTCAAAGCAGATATTTGTTCTATAATTTCTACACAAAAACAAGAAGAGTAAAATATACATATATTTTGTGGATATAAGCATTCTATGTTGGCATTAGTAACTGTCTTCTTGCCTCCCTTTGTTGTTTTTCTTCAAGGAGAAATTAAACTTTTAGATTTTTCTTAAAAATCAAAATAACAAGCTTCATGACTAATATAAGCATTCCATTAATAGGTAATGTTGTCAATATACATCCATCTCCCAATAATACATTCACTGAGCTATATATTGAAAAGCATTTAAAAACAGCATAAATTTTCTCCACAGAATGTATACAATTAAACGCATACCTTAATCATGTAAGTATGGGCTATATAACATCACGAGGTATTACACTGATATATTTGCCATGGATGAAAATGCACACCATGAAAATAATTTGTATATAGTGAGAAACACATCATTCCAAATGATCCCCACTGAATTCACAGGGTTTTATTAAAAAGAAAAAAAAAAAAAACACAAATGCCTTTGAACTTCTCAGCACACACAAGGAGCACGAAGGCTTACCAGTCCATGGCATTTACCTTTAGGAGACATTAGATATGGGAAATTAAACAAGCTTCTACTAGAAATATGGGGGGGGGGGAGCCCTTTTATGCTATTGTAAGTAATAAAAAATAAATGTAAAACTTTTCTTGAATACCAAATATGCTAAAATTAATCTACGACAGATTTTGTCAGTTAATTATAAATAATCAGAACTTTTAGTCGAATTGTGTGTTAAGCTTTAAAGTCACTCTTCCAAATTAGGTAATCTTAATGTAGTATGCAAAGTGAAAATGCACAAAACTGAGCATATTTGCTATTTACAATTTCTATTTCATCATTATTTGAAAATACTTTGAAATACATGATTTTTAGCTATTTTTCTGCATAGAGTAAGAGAACTGTGGCCCTCAATTAAACTTGAAGACTTGTCAATTCACTATTTTTCATCTTCTATTCCTCAATTTACTGCAGGCTCCCAATAATTTCAGGATGTACCACAGTGAAGCAAATACAGTTTTTCTTCAAGAGTACACCATTGTTCAATATTCCAAAGGAGTAATTAACACAGAAATTAAAAGTTTAAAGTTCCATATTAACAGAAAATTTTTAAAAAGTTTTCCCCTAAGTCTAAATTTTGTAATTAATTCTTCACTCTATTAATATTTTTTAAATTTTGCAAATTTTGTGAAAAATAAAACAATTTTAGAGATTATTACTGAAAAAAATCTATGTAGATTAACTTACACTTGCAAGAAATCTTCCTACACAATATCATACAGATGTCAACTAGCTTAAAAAATATTTTTTTCTCTCTCAGTAAAAGAAGGCCCACAAAAGTTTTCCAAATGTGGATTAGAATAATTCATATCATCCAAAGAATTTATTTTTCTAAGAAAGAAATCAACTGACAAATAACATTAAATATATCTTCTAATAAAGGCCCATTTAAAAATAATTTTTAAATTCATTTTAAAATTTAAACACTAATTAAAATATAGCATTTTAGTGGCCTACACAAAAACTAGTTGCTACAGCTTTTATGTGGGATATTAAATTTATATATTTTGTGATAGTCTATGTATAGCTTATTATATATATATTTATGAGTTGTTTATGATAAATCTGACATTAGCAACAGCCAAGTCACCTACATGAAAACATCAGACTAACACCATTCAACAGCTTCTAGCAATTCAAAGGAGAGCACTTTCACAAATAAATAAAACTAAGCAGTTAGTGGCACATGACCAGATGACATGAAAGTGTACTTAATATTAACTATTATATTAGTGTCTCTTATTAGTATATTCCTTGCTTTACATACATGGGAACACTACCAGAATATTAAATAATAAATAGCATTACCTTGCAGGCTATATAAAGAGTTTTTAGCTACCCTACAGACAATGCTTGGAATGAATAATTATGTGGCATTGGTTACAGCCATCAGGCACTGAACATTCATTTTTTTAAGTCTCCAAAAGCATAAGTTGCATATAGAGTTCCCCAATCTACAAACATTTAAGTGTATTTAGTGCCCATAATCCTAAAAGAAAAGTAGAATATTTAAGGCATCATTCCTAAATCTAGCTTTTACCCATAGAATATTTAAGGCATCATTCCTAAATCTAGCTTTTACCCATAGAATATTTAAGGCATCATTCCTAAATCTAGCTTTTACCCTCTGGCATAACTTTTTTTTAAAGACTAATTTCCAATGATCTGATCAAAAAAATGCTCATTTGAAGTAATCAGCATATCTGAGGAATATCTGCAAAATAGTGTGTATTTTGTTTCCTGGTTTTAGAAACCTATGGTCTTTTATTATATTTGTAAGCATTCTTCAAAGACATTTATTCCTTCACCTTATTGTTTAGGATTTTCCTTATTAGCAGTAAGTATTTGCTAATATTAAAATATCCTCAGATAAATTTCTTCCTTGGACTTGAAAATAAATAGCAAAACTCTCTCACTGTAGACATAGGACTAGTTACCTCACACTCATCGTGAGGCAAAACTAGTCTTCAAAGTTACCTTTTAAATAGAGTTGATATTAATAAGAGACTAGGAAAGAAGAAATTAAAGAGAAAAAAGAATAGCCTTTTATTTTAACATGTGAAATCTTCACCAAAACCAATTCTACCTAATGATAATCACATATTCATTTTTAAAAGTATTTCTCAAAAGCACAAATTACTAAAGCTTTCAATAATCCTGACTAGACAATTCTTCTTTACCTTTTTGTCATCTCAAAAAGACGGCCTGACAATAATGGTATGACACCCTCTCAGACAAGCCTCTCGGCATTAATATTTAAATCTTACCTATCCCTTGTGATTGGAATTCAGCCTCTATTCGCAAACAAAAACTAAATCAATGTTCTTAGAGTTCAAACTAGATCCCTAAACAGTTTGCCACTCTCTATGCACAGATAAGATAAACTTTCTTTGACCCAAGAGATGAAGTTGCCATGACGATCAGAGAGTCCACTTTCTATATTGATATTTTGCTGATGTAACAACAAATAGAACCAGATCCTAGTGCCGATAATGGTGATTAATTAATACTAATATTGATCCCTACAAGCAAGAGACAAGGATATTAACTTGAAGCCTGAAAAGTCAATTGTTACCTGTGGCAGAGATACTAGGAGCTGATTTGGAAGCATAATAAACAAATGTGCTATCTTTATGCTAATACCTTTAAAGAGATAGTTCTTTCCAGAATGCCAAATATTGCCATATCTGAGCTTATTAATTTAATTGTATTTCAGCTTTTAAAAATGTAACCGTATTAAATGATACATACTTACCTCTTTATCTATGGTGAAAACACATTCTCTGGACTGAAATAACAGACTTTTGCTGCTATTCATTTGGTGAGAGAATGAACTGATAATTTTACACAGTGGCAGGTGTTGAGTTAGACCGGGTTTCAAAAACATCTGCAGTGTTTCTCTGAAATGTCCTACTAGTCCTTTGGAATTGGGAAGGTAACAAAGAATCCAAGGGAATATGACTTAGAGGATAAGAACTCCAAAGTTAACATATCCACTCATACTTTTTAGTGAACAAAGATTACATTTAAGAAAGGAAGCTACTTTTGAAAAATATTTCTTATTCCCATACAAATCTAATGCTATATTCTTCACACAATTTAGCCAAACATCAAAAAATTTTCTCTAAATGGTATCACTGTATTTAAAACTTGAATACACATTAAGTTATTTTCAAGGAAAGTTCATCTGGGAAGGTGTTTTCTTGAAATGTAAAAATAAATTACAGAATGTAGAATAAATAAAATTAGTTTATTCACTTAATATCTTGTGAGGAAAAGTTACATATTTAAATAGGGTGTGATTAAAATGCAACTGACAAGTCCATTGTTGACTTGCCTTGGTTATGGGGAAGAACAAAAACATCAATACTAGAAATCCATACTCTAGTCCCAAATCCTTCATTTTAGCTAGAGTGTTAGGTTTAATCTTCTCCTCTCAAAACTTTTTCTAGTGGTAACAACTAATAGTGAAATGGCTAATTAGACTTTCATTTCTTTTTTAAAAATCATTTGAAAAAAGAGCTAATTAGTTCTTGAATAGCAAGGCCTCAACTAGCTGAAATAACATGGATGAGAAAGTCCTTGGTGAGCTCATGAACAAGAAAAATGAGTTACCTTAACTGTAATGCAAAGTTAACTTAATGGACATTACTATAAAGATATGGATACATATAGATATAGGCAAAACATAGATATATTGACAGATATAGGCTAGACAATCGATACAATCAATGACTATCTTAATTTATCCCCAAATTATCCCCAAACAAAGCAATGTATAAATCTTTGTATTAACCCTTAAACATATCATGAAATTTTAAATTGGCTGAACATAAAAATCAGGAGCAAATCCTTTAATTGCATTGCCTTCTTTCACAACTTAATAACACCAACTTAATATATAGCAAGTCACATAGTAACCAAACAGATGCAATTTTAGTGTTCTTAAGGTCTCTAACTGCAATTTATAGAAAATTCAAACTTGTGTGTTCACCTAAGAAATACTAAGATCTATAATATTAAACTTGATAGTCCTTCTTACTCCATAATTTTACAAATGAACTACTTTGAAAGTTACCAGAAGTTGAAAACATACCTACTTTGTTATTTCAAGTCATATCTCCAAATTTTAGCCCTAAACTCATACAGCAATTAGAGATAAACAAGTTAGTTCATTTATATTTGCATTGTTGACTCCATTGAACTTTTAAAAACCTCACTTCATGACTAATGATCTTTTACAGGTAAACTTTCTTATGTTGTCTTTAACTCTTAACAACCAGAATGACTGTATTGATCATCTTAAGATTTGTCTGTTTTTAAATCCACTAAATAATTATTCCTAGATTTTTCCAGAAAAAAAAAAAAAAACCTGCATTGGTATTACTTCAAATTCGTAAATCAAGAAATTATTTTTATGCTCTCTTACAAGCAATAGGTACTCTTCTATCTATTTTATTGCTAAAACAACTATTATACAGAATACAGGTTCCTTTATCGTGTGGCACGTGTAAAAACAGGTTTTCCGAAATGTTGCTCAGTCAAAAATGTAGAAAATAAAAATCTCCAATATGAGAAGTATTATAGACTAAAGAGAAGAATTACTTTGTATTATATGCAATTATCTCTAAAATTCAG